ATTCTCCACTCAATAATGTGCATTAAACGCCCTTAAATTAACCAATCTTTAAAATGGACTTGACAGAACATAAAATCATCTTAATTAAATTTCGTTTCCTTCTACTTAAAAACCTATTTCTGCTCCTCCTTACCATCCAGTTTCCTTCACTCTTGTTGGATTTTGGTACCCAATAAATCTCGAGTGATGATATTAAACCGGTTTATTGAATTATTATTCATAGGCATTGGCCGATGAGTGAAGTGAAATATCGACACTACAATTGACAAACTGATTCTCAACTTATTGGGGCCATTTGAAGCAGCCTAATTAAATTAGGCCCTGTTTGATAACTTAAATGATTTTCATTTCCATCCATTTGACTTGTTTGATTGTCATTTTTTTCTAGGCAAATTTTTTTCCACTTTACCTCTCCACGTGCTTGATTTCTTGCCAATTGATGAAAAGTTTTTCCCACCTTTTTGGTGGGAAAAGCTTTTCTAGGTGCTGCTGTAGTTTTTGGTTTTTTTTTTTTTTGGCAATGAAAACAAATTTCATAATCAGTTGTAAAAAAAATTCACTTTAATGGACAATTTCCATGTAAAACAAAGACAAATGAACACTAAACTTTGATAAAAAAATGATTTTTTTAGGAAATTTCTTTTTCGTTTTTCGTTTTTTTACTTTTTGGTAATAAAAACAAATTTTATAATTAAATGTGAAAAATTATCAATTTAATGGACAATTTCCATATAAAACAAAACCAAACGAACACAAAAAGATCCAAAATTAAAAATTTTACAGGTGGAAAATTATATCAATCAAACACACTTAATTAACAATTCTCTGCAAAAAAATTTCTAAACAATTACTTTCCCTATCATTCATTTTTTTTCCATCAATTTTATACATTTGCAATCAAACGGATCCCTAGTGTTGCTCATCGTCCAACCAAAATTCTTGGACGGCTCGTTGGTTGATAACTCTTATTTGTTACCTATTGGGCCTGTATTACCTTAACCTAAAAGCCCACACTTGGTAGTTTATATGAGCAAATTAGGCCCAGTACTTTCATTTACTTAGGAAATTGATTCATAGACTTTGATTTTTTAAATTTTCATTATAGATTATTTTTTTTGATAAGTAATTTTCATTATAGATTATAAAACAGTATATTTTACGGTGAGAAAAAAAAACAGGCGGTGTTCAACACCAACACCAATCAAAACCTAAACTTGTGGGTTATCTCTATTAATTTCCTGTGATTTTCATGATTTTGGTCGATTATAGACAACTTCGTTTCACAATCAGCCATCATCTAGCCCTCTCTCTCTCTCTCTATTCATTCAATCGAAGATCAGTTTTTGCTATAATTTTCCAAAATCTGTTTTAAAAGATTTGTGTAATCACATTTGACCAGCATCTTTGAATTGTCTAGGTAATTGGAGCTGAACCAACAACGAGAGATTCCCAAAGGACAT